GGGATACAAGGTGTCCCATTTCTTTTTTTTTCTTTCTTTTTGCTCATTGCGTGTCAAGTTCAGTGCTGCCAGCACAGAACATCATGTTCTCTGAAAGATCATCTATGGCATTCTATGATTCTATTCAAGGTGTCCTTTTTCAGGCTTAACTCTACCAAGTAGATAAAGCAAAGGCGGCACACAAAATGACTGAACAAGCCTCTCAAAAATGCAGCGTGACATTTCATTGGCAGATTTCCCATTTCTTTATCGCTCGTTGGTGGGAGTATTGTACAGTGTCATAGATAACATCGCCAGATCAACTTTGCCAAACTGCAGGGTGTTGTTTTCCATGTGTCCTTTGTGATGAACAGCACAATGGGCGTTATCTTTGCCAATCCTTTTAGTTACACTGAAGTCTAGACAAGTCTCCATGGACGAGTCAGATGACGGTTTTTATGTGGGACGCGGAATGATATCCGGTGGTATCAAATTCATTTTAATTCAAAGGCCACTTTCAGCCAAATTTGATATCCAGTGGGCCAGATGAGCATGCCCGTGGCTTAATAATAGGTCAAAATATTTCCTAATTTTTGGTGTAACTCATCCCAAGTACATTTTGAAATTAATCGCATTTCTTGTAGTTGAATAAGAAATGTCTTTACAAAATGAGCTTAGTTTTTTTTTTGTTTGTTTTTTTTTGGGGGGGGGCATCAAATCCTGACTTGGGAGTGTCGTTTTAGTGGTCGGCACTGCGTAGACAAAATTAGCAACAACAGTTAATTTCTATCCTCAGGTGCCAGATTGGACCCCCTGATGGGCCGGTTATTGCCCATGGGCCATGTGTTTAACACCCATGGTTTAAATTTATACATGAAGGTATACTTTAATCTTTTCATCCGATTTATCGGATTGCCTTCTGCCCTTTACAGTAAAAATGTGCTTATTCAAAATGAACCTTGACATTTGCCTCTCGACGCTAGCCCCCGAAATTTCCCACTTCCTTCTGAGATTTCAATCTGACTTCGGCTTCATTCATAAGACCGTTGAGTTACTCGCAATGTGTCAAAGATGCTCCTCTTTCTGGTAAGCGTGTGCATGCGTGTGTGTCACAGTTCATTACTACTAAAGTCAGCCACACCCACCTTGCGCCTTCATTTGTTTTGTCACCCTTCCTGTGCTTTGACAGGTTATGATTTTATTCCAATATGTTTCTCCCACAAAAAAAAAGACAAACCATGTACTTTCATGTTTTTTATTACAATATTTAGATAAAGTAACAGTTTATTCATAAGACCGTTGAGTTACTCGCAATGTGTCAAAGCTGCTTCTCTTTCTGGTAAGCGTGTGCATGCGTGTGTGTCATAGTTCATTACTTCTAAAGTCAGCCACACCCACCTTGCGCTGTCATTTGTTTTGTCACCCTTCCTGTGCTTTGACAGGTTATGATTTTATTCCAATATGTTTCTCCCACAAAAAAAAAAAGACAAACCATATAACTTTGATGTTTTTTATTACAACAATATTTAGATAAAGTAACAGTTTTTGACAAATGTATCTGCCTGGCAGACATAGCTGAACTCGAGAGGGTAACTGAGGATATTAGAGTATTGCTACAGAATTTAATTTAATCACGCGGCAGAAGCGCCTGCTTTCAAGCGCACCCTCCACCACGCCGCTGTATTCCGAGAGGTACTAAGGAAAGTGCACAATTTTGTTTTGTTTATTGTTATGGTCCGTCCATGTTCTCTGTGCTTCAAGTCCTCTTTTTCCACATCATCCCCTCTGGAGTTCATGTCTTTATGTGTCCTGAACGGAACACCGTTTGTGCGCATCAAAGTGGAGTGAATGGAGGACGATGCAGTGCCATGCATGTCCTCCGGGTGGCAGCCTCCAGGTGAGAGTGTTAACGTCAAACTGACGCATAATAATAATAATAATGTCATAACTTGTAAGGGAATTCCAACAGGAATCCTTGGGCGACATTGGTGAGGGGCAGCTCTGAAATCTGCCTCCCTCCGCCGCAGAGCTCCATGATGCGCCTCCTGCACAGCTCCTGCAGCGTGGGCTCCCATTTCCTGTACGGGACCCTCAGGCTCCTTTTGGGGGTGTAGGTGTAATGCTCCAAGAGGGCAAAGAGACTGGGGAACGTGCGCTCGTTGCCGGCGAGTGAGAATTTTTGCCGCTTGTAGTCGATGCGCACGCTGACCGGCCCGCTCTTGGCGTGATAGGACAGCGTGAAAAAAACATCCTTCTGCCGGCTGTCCCGGATGAGATAGCTGCCCGGCGGGGAATCTTTCAGCATGCGGTGGGCCTCCTCCACTCCCAGAGGGCCCCAATAGAAGCCGCTCAGCTCGAGTTGGGCTGCTGTGTCCGTAATGATCCTGCAGTCCTCTTTGCAGTTGAACGTGGGGAAGTGGGTTAGGTACTTGCATGGCGTGGACGCAAACCTCTGCTTGGGTTTCGGAACGACCCGGTGCTGAAGCTGCGCCGACTCGGAAGATTCTGAGCTCGAGGCGCCTGACGAGTGATGCTTGCTTTCTACAGCGCTGTTGGCTACCATCCTCCAGGAGGCTCCAAACCCTCTCCCATTTCTGACCACCACAGTGGCGCCCTGAAAGAGACACCACAAGGTCAGTCCAGTATCACAAATCACATCATGACATATATGACAGTATGACCGATTCCTCAAAAGCTACACTAACACACAGTTCTAAAATCTGAACTGCGAATGCATTGTGCTTCACAAATGTAACAATCACAGTTTCAATATTTAATTCGGAGATTGTTTCATGTGTCACTGGAAGACGCCTCCATACCACTAGAACCGTATTTTCAGACTTTATAATCTACCCGAAAGTACACATAAAATGCCTGTTGTTTGCAGTGGCATTCTGAAAAATGATTATTTTTGTGTATGTTGCTCAGTACACGGTCGAGAATAATGTGGTACAAGCCACTCAGCAATAAACATTTAGTACCTAGGACAGTGTCAATACAAAGCATGATCTTTAGTGCAAGCACAATTTGGAATACAGCTGGTTGGTTAGCTAATGTAGCTTATGAAAACATTCGCCCTAACATCTTTAACACTGTGTGTGTTGTGCATACGACACATTGGCAATTAAGGCAACGCAGATGTATTTAAACTGTATAGCACACGACACAAAGCAACTCCATGTGCTTCAAACAAGCAAAGACACCGCAGCTAAGATTAAAAAAAAAAACACAACAGCTTCAGAAGCAAAGCAGAGAAAACAAAAGAGTAGTTTACGAAAATTAGAAAAAGAACATACATTGACAAGATTAACAAATTACTTGAAAGGCATTTCAAGGGTAAATAACGTGTCTCAAATGACTAAAAAGGAAAAAAAGAGATTTTTAAAAAATGTTTAGACTTTAATCAAAGCGCATACGTACGTTTGGCGTAGATCGAACCACAGGCTCCTTTGTACCCGCCGAAGCAATTAAAATTGTCAACTTTGCTATTTTTCACAATGTCACCGACACTGACCGCAGTGCCTGCATCTCTGTTTTTTTTTAATCTGTCAACTGTCTTGGTTGTAAGGAAACCCGTATTTTAAACTGCGTTGGCTGTTTTACGTTGTATTAACTGTTTCTAAACCGTTTAAACTGTCTTTGTATCCTGTCTATTAGATAACTTTCATTTTGGGACAATCGAGTACTGCAGTGAACACAACACATAGTTGAGTAATTCAGCGTTGCGTTTGTTTAGGCATGTTTTCTAGTAAGAGTTGATCATTTGTGTGTTTACTGTTGTAGTTAAAAGTAAGTGGAGGAAAAAAGAAAAACGCCCTGCGTGCATTGGTGTCCAGCGTGAGAAGTCTTACCGTTATTGCTTCGGTTTAATCCTTTTACTGTTGTAGTTAAAAGTAAGTGGAGGAAAAAAAGAAAAACGCCCTGCGTGCATTGATGTCCAGCGTGAGAAGTCTTACCGTTATTGCTTCAGTTTAATCCCCAAAGTGTAGATGGAGTTGCGTCTCGGACCAGACATATGTCGTTTGTGTCGAGTACGCTTTCTTACTTGCTTTTTATAGCCGCCGTCCTGCGCAGCCCCGCCCATTTCAAATCGACCTGCTCAACGAGTCAGAAACGAAACTGAAACTTGATTCATTTCGGGTCAAAGCGAAGCGCTTATTAGAAAATACTCTCAACCGCGACGTGCTCGCCACACGACAGATGCGTGTTACACGAGAGGAAAGTTCATCGTGTGTGTGTTTTTTTTTTTTAAACTGTGTGAATATTCATGTTCGGCTGGTTTTCGTTTATGTTTGGTACTCGGGACCTCTCGTCACAGTGTTTAGCCAGCGTTTATAAAAGCCTTGTAGAGAGATCGCATGTAGAAAGATCGCTCTTTAAACCCAATAACTGGGCAGTGGATCGTGGTAATAATGCATGTATTTTAATTAATAAGAGAGTGCCAAAATACGATTTCCAAAATCTTAATTAATTAATGCTTCATCTGGAGAAGAGGAGGGGCGGCCCTAAGGGGGGAGTGAGCATCTCAACACCAGTTTCACTCCTGGACACAATATTGGGTGGACATTTTTGTGGACTCGTGCCCCAAATGGAACCGAAATCGGCCATTTTGGTTCGAAACAGTCATTTCTTCCTCATGTTATGGTGACATTAGATATAGGTTATCGAGATGCTCATTAATGGGAGGTAGCGTATACATGAGCAATGAACATTTCAAGGAAGAGAATACCGAAGGGTGTTTTAAGTTTTCATTCGGTGCCACTGTGCTTCTTTCGAAAGGGACTCCTCAGATTTGGCTCAGAAATGGCTTTGTGAGCGTTTGTTTGTTTCACGTCAGATGCATAATCTTATTTGTTTTTGGAGGGCTCGTCTGCAGCTTTCTAGCTCATGGAGCAGATGGGAGGGAAAGAAAGTCTGACGACTATGCTATAAAAGTTCCTGAGAAACACTCAGTGCGACGCCCGGATGCAACCTCGGCTGTCTTTGCCATGTACACAATTAGTTACTTGTTTATTCCTTAAGTTTCATTTCTGTGAAATGGGGAGGGACCGGAGACGGTGTGTGCTCTTTCTATTTGCAGTAGGTGGATTATGCGTGCGAAACACTACACAGAATAAGATGAATGCATGTGTTACAATTGAAATGCTATAAAGCAATCAGTTAGTGTACTGTTGATCAGAGCATAAGGCCCGGCCATATCTAAGATAATTAATAGATATCAAGAGCGGCACGATGGCCGACTGGTGATCACGTCTGGCTCACGGTGCAGAGATGCAGGGTTCGATTCCGGCTCCGGCCTTCCTGTGTAGAGTTTGCGTGTCCTCCTTGTGCTTGGTGTGGGCTTTCTCCGTTGTTCAATATTTCAATTCCTCAGAGGTTTTGAAAACTCGATGGAGTGATGGCCGGACATACGTCAGCGGAGCAAACAAAGTGCCTTTAGTATTATTGGACATGGAATTGCGTGCCCTTCCTAGTCTGGAAGTGGAAAGTCTTCCTGGAAGCTGTGTTTGTATGGTTGTAATAAGGAAGAAAAATTGCACAGTTACCAACAGTGACAGGGAATGCCATTGAAGGGAAATGAAGATGTATGATCTTTGTTTGCACTTCACTCCTTTTATTGTTGCCTTAGGGCATCACACCCATTCAGGATGTGCATGCCCGTCATCTGTCAAATTTCAGTTATGAGCTATTGTTGTGCAACGATGTGTATTTGGTACAGTGTCAGCATTCCCGTTTGGTCATATTCCTTCACACGGTGTTTATATTTGTATATTTTCATCTGCATGGATTGTTAACTTGCGGTGATGTCATTGTTTTGGGGGGAAGATTGCGCTTTCATTATAACGGCTGCAGAAAATAAACTGATCCGAGCTTTCACTTTCAGATTCTTTCACGTTTCAAGGATTCAAGTGATTTTACTGTCAAACCAACACACCTTTCCTTATGACATGGCACAAAATGTGATACCCAAGGTTAGCCCGGTGAGTCCCAAGACTTATGAAAATAAATCTAGATCAACAAAATAGGATTAAAAAAAAAGTTAACGGAAATGCTACTTAGTGTTTTAATGTCACCTATGCTATTTATAGCCACGTCTACATTTTTGATACAAAAATCCAGCCTGCGAAACCACTTTGTGAATTTATATGGTTGAACGGGTAAGGAAGTGGAAGCAGCGCTGTGGGGAAAAGAGAAGCAGCGTTTCACTGAATTCACTCATTGATTCGAAGGCGGGACAAGGAATTCGCTCGGGCATTTATGACTTAACGGCCTTGCGTTCTGATTGTGATCTGCTGCAGTCGACCGTTCACATCTACAGTCACGTGGTCCTCTAAATGTGAAAGTAAGCCGCTTCCATGAATTGCAAAGAGTTAGGAGAAGCAAGCAACTGTTTTAAACATTGAAAGTCAAACGAGCCAATTAAAAGGCTCCTTAATGAGGCACAGTTTACAGTAAGAGCTGTTCACTCTCGCTGAAAAGTTTCCTTGAATGTTAATTTGGAACCGCGGCTGGCGGTAGTGTGCTTTACAGGCGGAGATACGGTGGGTGACGTGGACTGTCCTGGTCCCGTTTGTATAAATATGTACCAAATATGTGCAGAAAATTTGAGCAAAGAAGTGTCTTAAGTCCATCCCAAAATGTTTCCATGATGCGCTGGCTCAGGCTTAGGTTCTGTCAGAGCGAAAGAGAAAGTAGCTGAAAATCTATTGGGACAATAAAGGCTTTGACACCCAGTTCGCCTCCCTTCCCTCTTTCCTGGAAAAGCTTTAAGCGCAAGGAAGCGAACGATAAATATTGGGGCCGCATTTACATTAAACCTGATGTCGAGTTGAGGGCCGCAAAATATCATGCTGTGGGCTGCAAATGGTCCCGAGGCTATCAAGGCCACGGGGGCTTTTAATAAAATTCCGAATCAGAACGTATAAATGTTACATCAGAAAAAGAAACCGATGTTGGTATTTTCCTGTTGGTATTTCTACAGAAGATGAAAGTGTGATAAGCGTCAACGCAACGCTCTCTCTGCGGTCAAGCATGATGTGCAAAACTACGGCGGGTTTGTTTCGAAGTGTGACATCACCGAAAGAGGGAAGCAGCACTTCTCTGTAATTATTTTTCAAACAAAACGGATCTATGTAAAACATTTACAGTAAATCCTCACACGGTCAAATGCATTGACAGAAACATTTTCTCATAAGGAATGCAGAAGAACATCCGAAGGCCAACACAATCTGTTGTGGGATGACGGTCGACCTCCAGTGTGTTCTAATCTCTCTTGAGGAATTCTGTCAAGTAACTGTCATGTCGATATAAAGACGTCACGAATGGCGTGGTGGGTCACTTGTAAGACTTCCAAGCAGGCAGTGTGGGTTCAGTTTACATTCGGTGACAGTGTGGGGGGGGTATGTGAATGGAGACTGTACAGGTATATGGAGGCCATTCCTGTTAAATAGTTGACAACGCGAAATTGTGAAAACATTCAACATTTAATGTATTTAACTTACTATGCCTGCTTTTATTTCATTTGTTGTTTTTTTAAAATGTCATTTAAATTCAACTGTACAGAAAAGCAATCGTTTCAGACAAAAATGCAACAGTTTAGGATTGGGATGTGTCACATGGCCGCTAGAGGGCGTCATTGCACTCTCTGTCATGGGCTTTCCGAAGAGGAAGAGAGGACACGTTTAAGGGGGAATGAAATAGTGACACACAGGTCATAAGATGCTGTGGAGTGCGTGTGTTTTTCGAGATGGAGAAATGGAAATGGCCACCAGGCTGGAAGGAGAGCGTCTCTTCCTGTTTGTACTTCTTTCCATGTAGTAACATAATCCAACCATGTATCGACTGGAAGGTATTTTAATTTTAGTGGCACTGCCAATCATCACTCATTTGAGCTTCAAACTTCTTTTTTTTTTTCAGCAGGTCTTGTGTCCAGCACATAATGGAATTTGCCTTCACAAGGTGCACTTCCAAAATACATTTTTAAATGAATTTGTCAGTACAAAGTACTGAAAGCGCATTTATACAATATTGCACATGTTCAAAGCGCGTCTCCAAAATGCATGCAACATTCGCTTGACTTAAGTTCCTCCTGCACAGGTGAAACACAGCAGCTGGAGCAGCACCGCGTGCTTATTGTTTACACCCTCCTCGGGCCAACAGTGGGAGGAAGAAGCAATGAGAAACCACAGTGTGAGAGGGGAATTGACTGGTCCAGTGTGGGAGCAGAAAAAGGGAAAATGTGCTTTAAAAAAAATACAGTGATAAAGTCCTCCAGCAAAACACAACTTTTCGCCTCGCCACGCGTGCCAACTTTCTTTCTCGCTCCAATTTACAAATATGATCAGTTGGATATTTTGGAATGGATATGCCATGAGTTGAAGCACAGTGTCGGTTCTTGTAGAGGTGGCAGGAAAATAGACAAGGAAATGATTCCAAAACAGTTGACAGTACGGTGATTTCCCAGTGGACTACTCTCTATTACGTCTTTTTAAAAAAAAGAATCACTGTGATAAATTGTACTTGCTGCCGTCCACGTTACATTGCGGGCCCCATCGTCCTAAACATGCCTTCCCTGCTTCCGATTTGCATCAGATCCAGAATAAAAAGAGTGGCTTATGTGCGAAATGAGTCACCATATGACATTCTATCTATCTATATCTACCCATCCAGGTGCTCGCAGGGAACGCTTACGTCAAGCACCAGAGCCCTCCCGATGCCGAAAACCGCAAGCAAACGAAGACGTTTCCATCATTTCACCGTCTGCGGGGTCACGTGATTATGTAACGATGCAGCTATCTGGTGCTCCCATCGAAGATGTTTCATAAGAGGGAATGTGCGATTTTAATTCCTTGATTAGTCACTGTTGATATCTTGCTTAGCGTGTCAGCGTGAGACTGCTTTCAAACAGGTGGGCGACCTTCCATCACCGTATCGCACCTTCTTTTGGTCAAGTGCAGGTGTCCTTTTACTTTTCAGACCGAGCGCCCCCTTATGAAAATAATTAGCTACGTAACACCACAACGATCAACATTAAAGTAGTTGGCAGAGGGAGATGTTTTATTCGATTATTATTTTCGACTCGAGTATGAGATGTGATTGTGAAAGATTCTCTAAGTAGAAAAGTGATTCTCTCTCTCTCTCTCTCTCTCTCTCTCTCTCTCTCTCTCTCTCTCTCTCTCGCTTTCTCTGACGCGCGCCCCCCTCGCCCGTCACTCGTCGCGCACGCGCTGGGAGGCAAACGAGGAAGCTTTGGGTGTGCGGGTAGCTTTTGCAGCTTGCGGTCTTGCCACCTCCACTCAACATTGAAATCAGCAAACATCCGGCAGCAGGTTCACTGTGTCGCCGTTTCAATCGCTACTCTCTGAGCAAACCAACCAACGAACAAAAATATCAGGACTTTTTTTTCTCAATTTTTTTAAACACACCATTAGTTTTGTCTGGCGCAAACTTGCGGTGCCACTTTCAAGTTCAAACTCGGGTAGTCGCTCGGAGGGAGCATGGCTGACGGTGCGGCGGCGAACAGCGACGGCGAGGACGGACCGAGGCAGCCCATGAGGGGCTTCGCTCGCCAAGGAGCCCTGCGTCAGAAAAACGTCCACGAAGTGAAGGACCACAAATTCATCGCGCGCTTCTTCAAGCAGCCCACCTTCTGCAGCCACTGCACCGACTTCATCTGGTGAGCGCAGCTGCCTCTGATCAATCGGTGGACGACTTCAATGAAGTCGTGTTGGGAGTGGGAGGACGGCAAGATGGTGTTCGTGAGACGCAACCGCATTTGTCAGTCAGTTGAAGTTTGGTGACAAGCATGACTCAAAGAAATGATGTGCGTGGTGGCAACTTGCACGGACTTTCCAACATAAACGACGAATTCCATTCTAGCCGTGCACTTGTTGATGCCCAGGTACATCTGCGGCCAAGTGTGTGAGCTGCAGCCCCAGAAAGAAATGGCTGCTAGTACAGAATCACTTCCATCGTTCACATCCAGCTAAGATCAATGTATACTAGTTCGATCCTTATCCTACTGGTTGAAGGCAGTGTAGTACGAAAAAAAAAACAACAACTAGATATTAAGACGGCTGTCTTACGATTGTGCTGAATTGTCTTACTAGGTAGAACAAAGAGCGCACTCTAGTACATGGACAATACATATCTGCACACTCGTCAGACAGCCATTTTACTAGTTCATCCTAGTCCTTGCAGTACGCTGACTTGGCTTACCATTCAAGACAGAATATAGGATACTAGTACGAGGACCACGGACCGCCTTTTTCGATATGCGGACCTTGTGTGATGAACAAGAGGCAGAGCCACTGACCATTGACTGCGAATGCCACAGCTAAGCTTGTATTTTACAACAAAAACAGTCAAACATAACTGACGACTTCAACCGCTGACACAAGCGGACCCTTCGATCGCTTCCTCCAATTGTTTCGATGTCCTCAGCCCACCAGGGTGGCACTCCAGTGATTGAATTAATTTCTCTCTCCACTTTGCCCTGATTTGCACACCTTTATTTTTAGCTTGGTTGTGTGTTATCCCCGACGCCGCAATTATGCAAGCCCCGTGATGATGCCGTTTTCATTTGATAATGGGGGCAAGACTTGAGCCAGAAGAAGCGTGGCATGAGCAAGGACAATGAGAGTGCTGAGTGTGATTGCACACATCCTGGGAGATTAAAAAAAATAAAATAAAATAAAAATCAACATCCACACATATCGGTTTGCATGATTGTGTGCGACAATGCCTGGACAATTTTCCAACCTGTGACTTGTGTGTGTGTCTTCTCTTCACAGGGGTTTTGGCAAGCAAGGATTCCAATGTCAAGGTAGGAGAAAACCACCCTACCCCCACACACCTTCCGCTCCCCTCTCACAATTTCAAAGTTTTTGTAGCACATACTTGCAACCATGCATGTCAATCAGTTGTCAACGGCATGGCTCAATGGTCGTCTCCCAGGTTGTGGGTTCAAGCCCCGTGTCCTTGAGCAAGATAATGAACCTCCTCAGTTGCTTCTGTTACCGCCTTTTCAGTAGGCGCATGAGAAGTCAGTGCGAAGCGCTTTGCAAGTGACAAACCCGTTTTAGATTTGCGAGATCCTAACGCCGAGATGCTCACGGGAACATTTGCTCAATGGTGGATGAGTAAGGAAGCAGCGTGTGCAAAACAGTATGCCGGTGGAGGCCCAAGTCTGGAAGCGGAGGCTGGACTTGATTATTGAGTCACACAGAGGGTCAAACTGGAGGTGGAGGTTCAATGATTTGGAGGGAATGAACAGCCGCAATGCTAATTTCACCATTTGACAACCGAGGCACTTTGTCTGCCTGCTGTCGATCTCGAGAAGAACGTGCTTCCAACATGCTTGAAAAGCGAAAGTGAGGTTTTTTTTTTGGTTTCCATTCATGGCGTATACG